GTGGATGAAAAATCAGGTCAGGTGACACTGGAAGATACCAGGTGAGTACGTTCTGAGCTTCTCTTGGTGTTTCTTCCAGGAGCTTAAGAAGCCTGACTCTGTGCTAGCGCACTGTGTGCCATGGCTGAGGAGCAGGAGAAATGCCGTGTCTTCAGTGTGATGACAGCGACTCATTTTCCTCACATAGCCCAGGCCCGTGTCGCTTAGCGACAGGAATACCGTCTGAGAAATGTGTCGTTAGACGGTTCTATCATCTTGCGAACGCCATAGAGTATACTTACACAAACCTAGATGGCATGGCCTACCCCACACCTAGGCTGTGGTCTAGCCGGTTGCTCCTGGGCTGTAAACCTGTACAGCGTGCTCCTATACTGAATCCTATAGGCAGTTGTACCACAGTGATGAAAATACCTATCTAAACATAGAAAAGGTACAGTAAAAATGTGATATTTTAATCTTATGGTACTACTATTGTATATGCAGTCTGTCGAACAAAAAATACATTATTATCTGGGGGCATGACTGTAGTTAATTAGGCTCCCAAGGTATGAGAAGATATATCTCCTGGTTCCCAGGATGGAACCCTTGGTGACACTTTGGTGTCTGTGACCCTTCTTGAATGTATTCAAATTAAACGTGTCTCAGAAATAAGACTTAAAAGACACTGATCATTTTTGGTTCTTGCAAGCCTATTCAAGTTTGAATTCTTTTCCCCAAATCAAAAAACTAATAAATTCTCGTTCTTGTACGTCCTAAGTACAGGTTGAGTATCTCATATCTAAAATGATTGAGACTAAAATGTTTACATTTTGGATTTTTTCAGATTTTGGAATATTTGCATTATACTTACGAGTTGAGCATATCTGATTGAAAAATCTGAAATGCTCCAGTGAGTATTTTTTTGGGTGTCTTTTTGGTGCTCAGAAAGTTTCAGATTTGAGATTTCTGATTAGGGACATTCAGCTTAGGAATATTCAGCTGAAAGTGGAAAGCTTGGCCGGGCGCGATGGCTCACACCTGTAATCCCAGCACTTTGGGAGGCTGAGGCGGGTGGATCACGAGGTCAAGAGATCGAGACCATCCTGGCCAACATGGTGAAACTGTGTCTCTACTAAAAATACAAAAATTAGCCAGGAGTGGTGGTGGGCACCTATAATCCCAGCTACTCAGGAGGCTGAGGCAGAGAACTGCTCAAACCCAGGAGGCAGAGGTTACAGTGAGCCGAGATCACACCACTGTACTCCATCTTGGGCGACAGAGCAACATTCCGTCTCCAACAAAGAAAAAAGCATGTGTAGGTATATTTATTTCACATAAATGTGATTACACTACATATACTGTTGTAGCATCGGTGTTTTTCTTTTTTTTTTGCCAAAGCTAGAATGCAGTGGCGCAATCTCAGCTCACTGCAGCCTCTGCCTCCCAGTTTCCAGCGATTCTCCCGCCTCAGCCTCCCATGTAGCTGGGATTACAGGCATGCACCACTGCTCCTGGTTGGTGTTTTTGTACTTTTAGTAGAGAAGGCTTTCATCATGTTGGCCTGGCTGGTCTCGAACTCCTGACTTCAGGTGATCCACCTGCCTTGGCCTCCCAAAGTGCTGGGATTACGGGCGTGAACCACCGCACCTGGCCAGCTTTTTTTACTTAGTGTTTTATGGAGCGTTTCATATGTCACTGTTTTTGATTGTTTTATGATAGTTTGTCACTTCCCTTATTGGTGGATATTTATTGTTTTGCGTTTTTTTTTTTTTTTTTTTTTTTTTTTTTTTTGAGACGGAGTTTCGCTGTTGTTACCCAGGCTGGAGTGCAATGGCGCGATCTCGGCTCACCGCAACCTCCGCCTCCTGGGTTCAGGCAATTCTCCTGCCTCAGCCTCCTGAGTAGCTGGGATTACAGGCACGCGCCACCATGCCCAGCTAATGTTTTGTATTTTTAGTAGAGACGGGGTTTCACCATGTTGACCAGGATGGTCTCGATCTCTTGACCTCGTGATCCACCCGCCTCGGCCTCCCAAAGTGCTGGGATTACAGGCTTGAGCCACCGCGCCCAGCCCTTGACTTTTCTTATAAATAACATTGCAGTGACTCTTTCCCAAACTCTGCCTTCGTGTCTGTTTTCTTGGCCCGATTTCTCGGAAGGGAAGCCTATGTTAGAATGTGTCTATTCATTTTTTGTTTTTTTATTTTTTATTGTTTATTTATTTATTTATTTATTTATTTTTTAAGACAGAGTTTCCCTCTTGTTACCCAGGCTGGAGTGCAATGGTGCGATCTCGGCTCACCGCGCCTCCTGGGTTCAGGCGATTCTCCTGTCTCAGCCTCCCGAGTAGCTAGGACTACAGGTATGCGCCACCATGCCTTGCTAATTTTTGTATTTTTAGTAGAGACGGCGTTTCACCATGTTGATCAGGATGGTCTCGATCTCTTGACCTTGTGATCCACCCGTCTCAGCCTCCCAAAGTGCTGGGATTACAGGCTTGAGCCATTGCGCCCGGCCTGTTTTTTATTTTTTTTGAGGTGGAATCTTGCTCTTATCATCCAGGCTGGATTGGAGTGCAGTGTAATAATCTCGGCTCACTGCAACCTCCAAGCGATTCTCCCTGCCTCAGCCTCCCGAGTAGCTGGGATTACAGGCGCCTACCACCATACCTGGCTACTTTTTATAGTCTTAGTAGAGATGGGGTTGTGCCATCTTGGCCAGGCTGGTCTTGAACTGCTGACCTCAGGTGATCCACCTGCCTCAGCCTCCCAGAGTGTGGGATTATGGGTGTCAGCCACTGCGCCTGGCTGTTTTTGTTTTTGTTTTGAGACAGGGTTGCATTCTTGCTGCCCAGGCTGGAGTGCAATGGTGCAATCTCAGCTCGCTGCAACCTCCATCTCCCAGGTTCAAGCGATTCTCTTGCCTCAGCCTCCTGAGTAGCTAGGACTACAGGCATATGTCACCATACCCAGCTAATTTTTGTATTTTTAGTAGAGATGGGGTTTCACCATGTTGAGTAGGATGCTCTTGATCTCTTGACCTCTTGAACCACCTGCCTTGGTCTTTGGAAGTGCTGGGATTACGTATGTAAGCTACCACCACACCCAGCCTTTTTTTTTTTTTTTTTTTTTGAGACGGAGTTTCGCTCTTGTTACCCAGGCTGGAGTGCAGTGGCGCGATCTCGGCTCACCGCAACCTCCGCCTCCTGGGTTCAGGCAATTCTCCTGCCTCAGCCTCCTGAGTAGCTGGGATTACAGGCACGGGCCACCATGCCCAGCTAATTTTTTGTATTTTCAGTAGAGACGGGGTTTCACCATGTTGACCAGGATGGTCTCGATCTCTCGACCTCATGATCCACCCGCCTCGGCCTCCCAAAGTGCTGGGATTACAGGCTTGAGCCACCGCGCCTGGCGCAGCCTTTTTTTTTTTTTGAGACAAAGTCTCACTCTGTGGCCTGGGCTGGAATTGTAGTGGCATGATTTTGGCTCATTGCAATCTCTACCACCTGGGTTCGAGTGATTCTCCTGCCTCAGCCTCCCAAGTAGCTGGGATTACAGGCACATGCCACCACGCTTACCTAATTTTTTTTTTTTTTTTTTTTTTTTTTTTTTTAGTAGAGATGGGGTTTTACCAAGTTGTCGATGCTGGACTTGAACTCCTGGCCTCAGGTGATCCACCCACCTTGGCCTCCCAAAGTGCTGGGATTACAGGTGTGAGCTCCCGCACCCTGTCAGAATGTGCCTATTTTAAATCTGCTATAAGTGGCAGGTGGTCTTCAAGCAGTACGTTGAGAGTGTGCTTTTCTCACTGCAGGATTGTTTTTAGTTGGTAAAGATTAGGCTCTATGAGATTCTTAGGCAACGAATAGTTTCAGGGATAGAAGATTAGGAAGTAGGTTTTCTTAGGAAGAACTGATGCTCCTTTTCCTAGTCTAATAGGCATCAGAGCAGGTTCTGTATTTCTCGGCACAGTGGAGTAGGCAGAGTGCTGGTCTTGGGTTGTCCCGCCTCTGCCTGGGCCCGGCTTCGCTGCTCTGGGTGCTGGTCCTAGGTCATACCCCCATACCAGGGCGTGGCTTCCCTGTGCTGGGTGCTGGTACTGGGCCGTCCCACCTGTACCAGGGCATAGGGTGCTGGTCCTGGGTCATCCCACCTGTACCAGGGTGTGGTTCCCCGTGCTGGGTGCTGGTCCTGGGCCGTCCCGCCTGCTTCAGGGCCTGGCTTCCCTGGGCTGGAAGCTGGTCCAGGGCCATTTCACCTGTACCAGGGCCTGGCTTTCCTGGGCTGGAAGCTGGTCCTGAGCCATCCTACCTGTACCAGGGCCTGGCTTCGCCATGCTGGGTGCTGGCCCTGGGCTGTCCCACCTGCTTCAGAGCCTGGCTTCCCCATGCTGGGTGCTGGTCCTGGGTCATCTCACCTGTACCAGGGCCTGGCATCCCCATGCTGGGTGCTGGCCCTGGGCCGTCCCACCTGCTTCAGGGCCTGGCATCCCCATACTGGGTGCTGGTCCTGGATCATCCCACCTGTACCAGGGCCTGGCATTCCCATGCTGGGTGCTGGCCCTGGGCCATCCCACATGTACCAGGGCTTAGCTTCCATGGGCTGACTGTATGGGGGTGTTAGTTTCCTGTGGCTATTGTAACAACTTGCCACAAACTTAGTGGATTTATAAAACACAAATTTATTGTCTTATTAGAGTTAGGGAGGTCCAAAGTCCAACGTAGATCTGATGGGGCTAAAATCAAGCTCTGTACAGGGCTGGTTTCTTCCTGAGGTTCCAGGGGAGAATTTGGTCCCCGCCTTTTCCAGCTTCTAGAGTTGCTACGTTCCTTGGCAGAGGTGGGCCTAGGGGTGGATGCTCAGGCAGAAGAAACACGTGTGGGGACCCCAAGCATGAGCAGGGCTGTGTGGTCAGAGTGCATGGTGAGCAGCAGAGGGAGCTTGGGCTTTAGCCTGAGAGCAGTGAGGAATCATCGAGAGAAGTGAAATAAGCAGATTTCTTCTTCTCCGATAAAACACCAAATGGCGGATGACGCTGGTGCAGTGGGGAGCGGGGAGGGGGCCCGGAGGTCCCAGGAGCCCTGGGATGGGGAACTGTGGTGGCTTCTACGGAGGTTTTGGCAGTGGTATCCTGGGCTGAGGTTGCGGCTGTGGCTGGGGCTGGGGCCGTGGCTGCGGAGCTCGCGGAGGCAAAGCCCAGGATGAGGAGTGGATGCCTGTCACCAAGTTGGGCTGCCTGGTCAAAGACATGAAGATTAAATCTCTGGAGGAGATCTGTCTCTTCTCTCTGCCCATCAAGGAATCTGAGATCACTGACTTTTTCCTGGGGGCCTCTCTCAAGGATGAGGTTTTGAAGATTATGCTGGTGCAGAAGACCTGTGCTGGCCAGCACACCAGGTTCAAGGCATTTGTTGCTATTGGGGACTACAGTGGTCACGTCGGTCTGGGTGTTTAAGTGCTCCAAGGAGGTGGCCACTGCCATCCGTGGGGCCATCATCCTGGCCAAGCTCTCCATTGTCCCCGTGTGCAGAGGCTACTGGGGGAACAAGATGGGCAAGCCCCACACCGTCCCTTGCAAGGTGACAGGCCGCTGTGGCTCTGTGCTGGTGCGCCTCATCCCCGTGCCCAGGGGCGTCATCTCAGCACCTGTGCCCAAGAAGCTGCTCATGATGGCTGGTATCGACTGCTGCACCTCAGCCAGGGGCTGCACTGCCACCTTGGGCAACTTTGCCAAGGCCACCTTTGATGCCATCTCTAAGACTTACAGCTGCCTGACCCCCGATCTCTGGAAGGAGACTATATTCACCAAGTCTCCCTGTCAGGAATTCACTGACCACCTCGTCAAGACCCACAGCAGAGTCTCCGTGCAGAGGACCCAAGCTCCAGCTGTGGCTACAACATAGGGTTTTTATACAAGAAAAATAAAGTGAATTAACATTGTAAAAACAAAAAAGAAAGAAGCAGATTTTTGTTTGGAAAGAGCGTGAGGATGAGTGATGACTGCAGTTGCCCCTTGGCATCCAGGGGGATTGGCTCCCACGCTCCTGCACGCACCCAGACGCGTGCGCACTCCAGCCCTGTAGCCAGCCCTGCGGAACACGAGGATACAGAAAGTCAGTCCGGCAGACGTGTGGGTTTCGCGTCCCCCCCAGGTGAAAAGAGCCCTTGTAGAAGCGCACTGCGCAGCTCAAACCTGTGTCTTCCCGGGTCAGCTTTGCGACGGCAGACACAGCCGCTGCCTGGTTTGGAAGGTTTTACGGGGAAATGGCCGTGGCAGTCCATTTGCTTACTGTCTGCGTTTGCTTTCTTGCTACGGGTGGCAGAGCTGAGTCGGAGCAGCGGTGACTGGTGACCAGGTGACCACAAAACCTACGCTGTTTACCGCCTGTTTACAGGACTTGTTTGCCACTCTCCCACCTCAGCAAACTGGTGGCCACTCAGATGTGAATTCTGTCCACTGCTGGGGCCTTGAGAGTGGAGCTGCAGGGCTGAGGCTGTGTGTTTGACTGAAACGGGTCGGTTTGCTCGGTTGTGGTTTTTTTTTTTTTTTTGAGACAGAGTTTCGCTCTTGTTACCCAGGCTGGAGTGCAATGGCGCGAACTCGGCTCACCGCAACCTCCGCCTCCTGGGTTCAGGCAATTCTCCTGCCTCAGCCTCCCGAGTAGCTGGGATTACAGGCACGTGCCACCATGCCCAGCTAATGTTCTTTATTTTTAGTAGAGACGGGGTTTCACTATGTTGACCGGGATGGTCTCGATCTCTTGACCTCGTGATCCACCCACCTCGGCCTCCCAAAGTGCTGGGATTACAGGCTTGAGCCACCGCGCCCGGCCTCGGTTGTGGTTTTGTGTGTCGGTATGCTGTGCTCTTGGACCTTCATCACCCAACCGGTGCCTGATTTTCTGTCAGGTCTCTGTTCAGAAGTCCCCGGGAGGCGCTTCCTGCCCCATCGACTTAGTATTCTCCTGTCTGTCCCTCGGTCAGCAGCATCTGCATTGGCCCCTCCCCAGGCAGATCGCCTCAAGGGGCTTGGCAGCCAGACCCCAGGTTCTGAGCACAGGGCCACCCACATCTTGCAGCTAATGGCCCAGCACTGACTCTGCTGCCCAGAGCCAGTCTCTTGGGAGGAATCAGTACTTACTTGAGGCATGAGCTCTGGTGTGGTGATGGCCGCGAGGAATGGGACTGTGGATAGCACAGGTCCAACTCGAGGAGGCTGGAAAAGGAAGCACCACACTGTGGGATGAGGCCGCGGAGTCCACCAGGAGGCACATGGGAGAGAACCGGCCCCGCAGCAGCACAGGGGCCAACGACGTGAGGAGCTGCGGCTGCTGGTTAGGCTGTCAGTCAGGGAGAAGTGGGCGGGCCATTTCTCGAGATTGGCGAGGGTGCATGCATGCGTGCATCGTTAAGTATTGACGCCGTTCCTATGGGGATTTCCAGATGGGCACATTGAGCCTCTTTGCTAATGGTGCTAGAAAAAAATTCTTGTAACTCCAAGTTATTTTAAGTAGGATAAATTGTGTTTTTGTTTTTTTCAGCACCAATGGAACAGTGATTAACAAGCTGAAGGTTGTTAAGAAGCAGACTTGCCCTCTACAGACTGGGGATGTCATCTACTTGGTGTATAGGAAGAATGAGCCGGAACACAGTAAGATAGAGGAGGGCTTGCTGGGGTCAGACCTGCTCGGGGGTCCGCTCTGCTGAGGCTGGGAGGCATCTTCAGAGAGTCTGTGCAACAGATCCTTCCCGTAGGAATGTTCCTCCTGGCAACACCCCCTGTATTGGGCATGTGGGTTCCTGATGTGAATAGTGTCTGCTGAGGAATGGGAGTGTTGACTTTGCAGCCTGAGTCCCACCAGCCATTCCTCAGGAATACCACTATGGCCATGAGCAGCAAATCCCAAAATGGCAGCCAAGGAGAAACTAGTGGAGATAGGTTAGGTTATACAGGAGAGGAACTTGAGTTATGGGGAGTACAACCTAGGACCAGGGGTCTGGAGGCCATTGATGGTCCTGTTTTTGGAGACCTTATGAGAAATATGGAGTTTAGACTAGATTCCAGTAAGACTTTCTCAGCTCCAGGTGTCTGTGTATTTGTTTTGTGGAAGATGGTATAGGATAAGGAAAGTTACGGGAGTCCTTCGAAGGTCACCCTGAAATATTTATTTAAGTTTTTTTTTTTGAGACGGAGTCTTGCTCTGTCACCAGGCTGGAGTGCAATGGCGCAATCTCGGCTCACCCCAACCTCCGCCTCCTGGGTTCAAGTGATTCTCCTGCCTCAGCCTCCCAAGTAGCTGGGATTACAGGCACGTGCCACCACACACAGCTTATTTTTGTATTTTTAGTAGAGACGGGGTTTCACCATGTTGGCCAGGATGGTCTCGATCTCTTTACCTCGTGATCTGCCCACTTTGGCCTCCCAAAGTGCTGGGATTACAGGTGTGAGCCACTGTGCCCAGCCTATTTAACTTTTTTTTTTTTTTGAGATGGAGTTTCACTCTTGTTACCCAGGCTGGAGTGCAATGGTGCGATCTCGGCTCACCACAACCTCCGCTTCCTGGGTTCGAGCAATTCACCTGCCTCAGCCTCCTGAGTAGCTGGGATTACAGGCACGTGCCACCATGCCCAGCTAATTTTTTGTATCTTTAGTAGAGACGGGGTTTCACCATGTTGACCAGGATGGTCTCGATCTCTTGACCTCGTGATCCACCCACCTCAGCCTCCCAAAGTGCTGGGATTACAGGCTTGAGCCACCACGCCTGGCCTAACTTTTTTTTGAGACATAGCCTCACTCTGTTGCCCAGGCTGGAGTGCAGTGGTGCAATCTCGGCTCACTGCAACCTCTGCGTCCTGGGTTCAAGCGATTCTCCTACCTCAGCCTCCTGAGTAGCTGGGATTACAGGCACCCGCCACCATGCCCAGCTGATTTTTGTGGGTTTTTTTGTTTGTTTTTTTGTTTTTGAGACGGAGTTTCGCTCTTGTTACCCAGGCTGGAGTGCAATGGCGCGATCTCAGCTCACCGCAACCTCCGCCTCCTGGGTTCAGGCAATTCTCATTCCTCAGCTTCCTGAGTAGCTGGGATTACAGGCACGCGCCACCATGCCCAGCTAATTTTTTGCGTTTTTAGTAGAGACGGGGTTTCACCATGTTGACCAGGATGGTCTCGATCTCCTGACCTCGTGATCCACCCACCTCGGCCTCCCAAAGTGCTGGGATTACAGGCTTGAGCCACCGCGCCCGGCTTGTGTTTTTAATAGAGATGATGTTCACTATGTCGGCCAGGCTGGTCTCAAACTCCTGATCACCTCAGGTTATCTGCCTGCCTCAGCCTCCCAAAGTGTTGGGATTACAGACGTGAGCCACTGTTCCCAGCCACTCCTAAAATACTTAAAGACCACAATGGTGAGGAAGAATGGAGCAAATATGTCTTGGGCATCATCAGCATAACCTTGACCATCCCCTTGCCGCACAGAACGGTCTTGCATCTCCTCCCTTTTGTGGTGTGAAATTATAAGTGAGGCATAGATTCTTCACCTTGGTCTGCCTCCTGATGCCATTTTTCCCTGAGGCTTATTTCTTTTGTATTAGTAAAGATGTTTTAGATAACCTTGTTTGGATGAATTTGTTATTAGCTGATGAGTTAAAATAATCAACAAAATCAAATGACTGGAGGGAACAGAGAGAAAAATTTGAGTTCTCACTTTGCACAGGGGCCGCCACTTCCCTGACTTGATTAATTTTCTTTTAGACGTGGCATATCTCTATGAATCTTTAAATGAAAAGCAAGGCATGACACAAGAATCCTTTGGTAAGTAAGATTATAGCAAAGAAGCAGATGCATATTAGGGGCTGTCTCATTCTTTTTTTTTTTTTTTTGAGACGGAGTTTCCCTCTTGTTGCTCAGGCTGGAGAGCAGTGGCGTGATCTCAGCTCCAGCTCCCGGGTTCAAGCGATTCTCCTTCAGCCTCCCAAGTAGCTGGGATTACAGGCGTGCACCACCACACCCGGTTAATTTTTTGTATACTTTTTTTTTTGAGATGGAGTCCTGCTCTGTCGCCCAGGCTGGAGTGTAGTGGCACGATCTCGGCTCACTGCAACCTCCACCTCCTAGGTTCAAGCGATTCTCCTGCCTCAGCCTCCTGAGTAGCTGGGATTACAGGCGTGTGCCACCACACCCTATTAATATTTTGTATTTTTAGTATAGATGGGCTTTCACTGTGTTAGCCAGGATGGTCTTGATCTTCTGCCCTTGGGATCCGCCTGCCTTGGCCTCCCAAAGTGCTGGGATTACAGGTGTGAGCCACCATGCCCCTCTGGGGCTGTCGAATTCTTAGGAGCGTTTAAGTCCCTAGAGTGTCTGCCTGAGCCCTGGATGTGTGCTTCTTCTGCTCCTTTTGGATTACAGAAGCTAATAAGGAAAATGTGTTCCATGGGACCAAAGATACCTCAGGTGCTGGGCGAGGGGCCGATCCCCAGGCCTCACCGGCGTCACCCGCCGCTCAGGTGTGCTTTGAGGAACCACAGCCATCAACGTCGACGTCAGACCTCTTCCCCACAGCCTCTGCCTCTTCCATGGAGCCGCCTTCTGCGGGGCGAGAGCGTTCCTCCAGTTGCGGTGAGGTTCCATCTCAGGAGGTCTTGGTGCTGGTTGCGTAGCTTTTGTTCACTACTCTTTACTTTGTTGTTACAGAGACAGATAAGCGACCGAGGACTGGCCCGAGGCTCTCAGTAGTAAGGTTTCGTGGTGGTCAACACTGAGCGTGTTGTTCCATCCCCAGGAGAAGTGAAAGTCAGGGACTCCAGTACCATGGTGTGTTTTACGGTTTCATTGAGATTAAAATTTACGTACCATCAAAGGCATCCAGACAAAGCATACATTTCAGTGGATTTTAGTACATCACAAGGTTGTGGGACCATCAGCATTTTCCTAGCACCAGAGGAAACCGGTGCC